TAGAGAGAAGCCTTAAGATTGTAATGAATGTGAAAAGTTCTTCCACTGAAGATCCCATCTTATTGTACATCAAATAATTTATAATGAAGAAACCATAAAAAATGAAATTAATGTGAGAAAGGCTTTTTGTCAGAGCTCAAACTTTACTCAGCATCATGATACATAGAAATGTAATCAATGTAGGAAATCTTTCCATCTAAAAAACTGACTTACTGGTCATTAAAGAACCATATTTCATCAAAAGCTGAGAAGAGTAATAAATATGCATACACTTTTTTTGGAGCATGATATTTACTAGACATCAGATAATTCATCCTGGAGATAAAACTTATAAACACGATGAGTGGGGTTATGCCTTCCTTTGGAACATAAAATTTAATCATCAAAGAAATAGTGGAGAGATTGGTAGTAATTGAGGGGAAAATATCTTTCAGAGCATCCACCTTGTCAGGCTCTTCAAACTTATGAGAAAAACCACATGAATAACAAATATAAAAAGTCCTTCAGCCAGAATACTGCTTTAGGATTTGAGCAATCATGTAATCTTTCAGCTTCCAAGAATGAGAAGGCAAGAGTCCCTTTACATTGTGCCTTGGTTGGACTGTATCTGGAGTATTGGGTTCTGCTAGGGGCATCACGATCTAGGAAGGACATTGAAAACATGGAAAACATTTTACATACAGCAACCAGTACTTGAATGAGGCTCAGTAGAAGGATCTGAGAATGGTTGGTGTAGAGAAGAGAAGACTTGTGGCATGTTAGCTCTGTGGAAGAGGGATTACATTTGCTCTGTTTATCTCCAAAGGGGCAGAACCAGGAAAAACCAATGAAAATTACACAGAGGCAAGATATAGATTATCGAGAGAATTAATGAAAAGAAATAGGGACGAGGAGGAATATAACACCTCAGACCTCAAACTATATATAGAAGTACCAATCATCAAAACTCTCTTATAATGGCTAAAAGAAAAAATTCATGGATAAGGAAAGAATTTATGATGAAAAAAGAGCATTATAGGAAGTAAAATGGATAATTTTCATTACATTAAATTAAAAAGGTTTTGCACAAACAAATCCAGTGCAGTCATGGTTAGAAAGAAAGCATAAAACTGGGAAAATACTTTTATAGCAAATTTCTCTGATAAAGGTTGCATTTCTCCAAAATATGAAGAACTGAGTCAAATCTGTAAGAATACAAGTCATCCCCCAATTGACTGCTGTTGTTCTGTCCTTCATTCTTGAAGAGGACCAATGATATCATGAGGGTGATGTCTTGACATGCTCAGAATTGGATTTAAATGAGGCAGAATTGTGCGGAGTCATCAGCCTCACTCTCATCCAGTGAAAAGACAATATTTGAGATGGCTGGTGAGGGTCAGGGATGCAGGAGTGACCTTGGCCTTTTTAAATTAAAGTCTTTCCCAGGTCTCAGTTTGTTTGCTCTGATTGAGAAATGGTCAAAAGATATGAACAGGCAGTCTTTAGAAGAAGAAATCAAAGCTATCTATAGTCACATGAAAAAATGCTCTAAATCATTGTTGATTAGACAAATACAAATGAAAACAACTCTTAAGTACCACCTCACATTTCTCAGATTGACTAGTATGACAGGAAAATGACATGCTGAAGGGGATGTAGTAAAAATGGGGACATTAATGCATTGTTGGAGTTGTGAACTGATCCAGTCATTCTGGAGAGCAATTTAGAGCTATGCCCAGTGGGTTATAAAACTGCCTGCCCTTTGACCTAGCAATACCACTACTAGGTCTGTATCCCAAAGAGATAAAAGGAAAAGGATGTATATGTACAAAAGTATTTATAGCAGCTCTTTTTGTTGTGGCAAAGAATTGGAGATTGAGGGGATGCCCATCAATTGGGGAATGGCTGAACAAGTTGTGGTATATGATCATGACAGAAAATTCATGTTGTAAGACATGAGCAGGAGGGTTTCAGAAAAACCTGGACTTATATGAACTAATGCAAAGTGAAGTGAGCAGAACCAAGAGAACATTGTACACAGTAACAGCAGCATTGTGGAATGAAGAACTGTGAATGACTTAGTTATTTTCAGCAATGCAGTGATCTAAGACAATTCTGAAGGACTTATGAAAAATGCTATCCACTTCCAGAGAAAGAACTGGTGGAGTTTTAATACTTTCTTTTTAAGCTATCTTTCTGGGGGGGTTTTGGGGGGGGGGTGGGGGTGGAAATCTGTGTTTTCTTTTGCAATGTGGCTGTTATGAAAATATATTTTGCATGACTGCACATGTATAATCTATATCAAATTGCTTGCCTTCTCAAGGAAGGGGGAGGGGAGGGATGGAGAGAATTTGGAACTCAATTTTTAAAAATGAATGTTAGAAGCTGTTTTACGTGTAATTGGAAAAAAATATTTAAAAAATTAAAATAGATCATTGAAACTGATTAAACAAGAGAGAATCAGAAACAATAGAACTCAGTAACTCCATGTTTGGTAAACTTTAAAACAAATTATGTACTTAAGAAAGAACCCTTACTTGATTAAAATGAGGAAAACTGGAAAGCAATCTGGCAGAAATTAGGTTTAGACCAACACCTTATACCATATTCCACAATACATTCTAAATGGATGTTTGACCTTAATATTAAAAATAAATACCATGAAATCATTAAAAAAGAAGCAGATCATATGCCTCTCCTAGCTACGGGTAGGACACGCATTGTCCAAATAAGGGACAGAGGCAATTACAAAAGCTAAAATACGTAACTTTGATTATATGGAACTGAAAAGTTTCAGCACAAACAAAATGCATCCAGGATAAAAAGGGCAACAGTTAAATGGGAATAAATCTTTGTGTCAAATTTCTCTGATAAAGATTTGGTATTCAAGATGTAGGAACAAAAACACACACACACATTCATATGAAAGCCATATGAAAAAATACTACAAATCACAAAGAGATCTGCAAATCAAAATAACCCTGAAGTTTCACCTAACATCCTACAAATTGGCATAAATGCCAAAAGTTGGTATAGTCAGTGCTGGAATAGTTATGGGAAGTTAGGCACTCTAGTGCATTGTTGTAGAGCTATCAATCAGTACAATCCTTTTGGGGAGCGCTTTAGAATTATGCAAATAAAGTTACTAAAATATCTTCACCCTTTGACCCAGAGACTCCACTACTGGGGTTACGTCCAAAGGAGTCCATTGAGTAGAAGAAAGTCCCCGTATACACCAAAGTTTAGCTATATTGTATTAGTAAAGAACTGGAAACAGATGTTTATCATCTGTTTTTTGTTCAGTCATTCCAATCATGTCTGGCTCTGTGACCCATTTGGAGTTTTCCTTGAAAGAGATACTGGAGTGGTTTGCAATTTCCTTCTCCAGATCATTTTACAGATGAGGAAACCGAGGCATACAGGGTGAAGTGACTCACTCAGGGTCACACAGCTAGTAAGTGTCTGAAGCTGGATTTGAACTCAAATCTTCCTGATTGCAAGCCTAGGGCTTTATCCACCGCACTATCTAGCTGCCTGTTTACCAATTAGGGAATGGCTAAACTGACTGTAGAACACAAATGTAACGGAATATTACTGTACTGTAAGAAATGATAAATGCAATGAATACAGAAGAGATCGGCATGATGTAAATGAAGTGATTCAGAGTAAATTCAGCAGAGCCAAGAACACTATATATAATGACTGAAACAATGTAAACAGAAAAAATAACCTCTCCCTCCTTTAAAAAAAAAAAAGATCAAAAATGAATGAGTCAAAATTCCAAAGCCCAAGCATGGGTCCAAAGAAGAGGTGGGAGTGCTGTGAATGTGAAGTGTAGTGCGCATTCTCCGACTTGTGACATACAGACCATTCTCACTTTACCTAAGTGAACCATTCCTTAGACCAATACATAAAGTGATTCTTATGTAATGGAAATAAGATGAATTTAGGGTGAGTGCGAGGGTTAGAGTTGGAGGTGGATATAAACTTAGGGCTAGAGTTTGCCCCTACCTAGTCACTTCACTTAGCCTGTATAACAAAGGCATATACAAAATGATACTTTTACACAAGTCATAAAATGTACTCAAATAAAGACATTAAATGCGGTACCATGATAGTCAACAATTATGAATAAAAGATAAAGTTAATGCACAGGACTGTCAAATTATCATTATTATTATTATTATTATTATTTTAGGCAATTAGGTTAAGTGACTTGCCCAGGGTCACACACCTTGTAAGTGTCAAGTGTTTGTTCTGAGGCCAGATTTGAACTGAGGTCCTCCTGACTTCAGGGCTGGTGCTCTACCCACTGTGCCACCTCGCTACCCCTAGGATTGTCAAATTAACATAGATGTGCAGTCTGTTGCCCATTCACTCACTGCAGGTAGCCTTTATCACTGATGGTTGGCTAAAATTTCAGAATTCTTCACATAAAGTTCAATTTGCATAATGCAAATTTCCGTAAGGTGAGAAGTGTCTGTTGACACTTGATTTGGGTATTTTCACTTTTTGGCTTTGACATTTACTATTTATTGTATAAGATGACTCTCTGAGAAAAAAAGGGATACTGGGGATATGATTGGTAATATTTAAAACAAAATAAAAAAATCAATAAAAATTTATTCACAACAGAAATTTCAGAGGCAAATGTAAGCTTGATGTCAGGAGAAGATTTCTAAATTTGGGCTGCCCAGAAGTGGAATGAGCTGCCTTAAAAGCAGTTGGGGTCCTCCTCCTTGGGGAGATCCTCAGGTGGAGGCTGTGTTATGTGGAGGGCTTCCATTTCTGTATGGCTTGGATTAAAATGCCCCTCCCAACTCTCTAATTGTGTGGGTCCTAATTCTTAGAGGATCTACCCTGATCTCCACTCTCCCTCAGGTTTTTTTCCCTTAGACTCTTTGATCTTTTATGCATCAAAGCCCAGGTGGCAATCCTATCTCAACATACATTTCTTTAATCAATATTTGGGTACCTTCCCTTTTGGAACTCATTGATGGTTTTTTCCTCA